TTTTTTAAACGAGCTAATTGTAAGGCAATTTAAACAAATTATTTTAAAGAATCTAAAGAATATCTTTAAAAATCTATTTTCTTGTGATATTTTTACAACTTTTTATGATTTTAACAGTCTATGCCGTCTTTCGGATCACTTAATTGTGTATGGAATGTTTAAAGAAGATTTTAATTTTAAGATTGTCTTAAAGTGTTTTGTTCTATTATAAAAGAAGAAATCTTAAAATATTTTGTTTTATCATAAGAAAATATTGATTTTTATAGAAATCTCTATTGACCTACCTTCGACTATCAAAATCAAAATAATCGAAGTACGACTGATTGGTTTGTTTATCTATTGTGTGAAAACATTATGAGATACACAGTTTTATGGGTAAGGTTCGTTATCGCTTGTCCGTAATTTGTTTAGGCATGGAACTATGGATTAGACATATGAGTAACCCGAGAAAAAGTGGCTCCTTCGAAGCTACTTTGGGGGCGTGACCGATATATTTGGAAAAATTTGAGAGAGTGAAAGGTTCAGCGAGCTTTCAGACTGCCTGGCGCTCTTCAAAAACTCGAGAAAGGGCGGTCAGAAATTGAGAAGACCACGGAACGATTGAGAATAGATATCGCATTGCAAATGAGAAGTTATGAACAACACGGCTGTTGACGTATTTTTCCTTTCCAAATCAAATTCTCGAGAAAATCGTATCGTATTATCCTTCGAGGAAACTTTTTTGAAAATAGTCTGAATTGTTTCGACAATCATAATTTGATCGCAAATAAGCAATAATAAAAATTTCGAAAATATGAAATTCTAAGAATATAAATATACAGAATGCAGAAATAAATTGCGATATGATAAATAATTTCTTAAAATCGGAAATGATAGTATAAAAACATTCCGACTCACTAATTGGCTCTGAAATATAATGCTGGCACTTGTTTTGATGATCATGACATTCGTTATGTCCGGCCACCGACCGATCGCTCGGTTCTCACACATCGGCACGCAGAGGAATTTTGTCGTTGAGACAACCCTCGGGAATGAGCCTACCCCAGCCGACGGCTGGAACCCACTGAGTACACAAAACCTCGTTGTTGAGGTAGATAGGGACCTGCCTTGCCGCAGCTGAGATAATGGGAAGGAAATCAGTTCATTTCTATGTTGATCCCACCAGTTCGGTCTCCGGCGCTTAAAGGATTGCCACGATTGGCTGGCTGATCGAGAAAATCGAACCGGAACATCAGCGCGACTCATCGAATGAACCCGATCGTGTTCACCGATCTAAAGAAGAAGCAATCGCGTAGAATGCAAAGATATATCCGCTAATTGTTCACTTATATGTCCAAAAATTAACATCAATACTTTGCCGTTCTAGTAAAATTTGTTTGAGTTATTAGTTTTTTTGAAATTTTTTAAAAGTGCGTGATTTCCAGCTATTTTGCAAGTCAATTTCTTTCATGCACAAATATGATATATTTTATACTTATACATAACTCGCATAGAATAAATCACAGCGATTGTTATTTGAAGTTCGAAAAATATAGGCTATAAATGCATTTCAATGAAACGGGCAGCCTCAAGAAATGTAATATCTCGCTTCTCTCGCGAATGCTCTTATTACATTCGGGAATTCCGAAAGTTCCGAGATTGTTGCATGACAAAGTTTATCCCGCATGCAGAAATCTCGATCTGCGGGAACCGCGGACCAATTTCGTGTGTAAACGCCTATAAGTTTGCGGCGAGGAGACTTTTGCGGACGCATTCCCCGGGGAGGTTAGAGGCTAGCCGAGCAATTTGTCAAC